ATTGCTGCTGCCACAGAAGTCAGAGGTCATGCAAATATATTTTTCAACAGGATACCATGAATACAAACGTGCATATAGTGTTCCGTCCAAAAATTGACACATTTGAAACATTCTTATCATGTGCATGGAGAGCACATTTTGTCAATCCACGGCTAGATAAAGACCTCCCCCGTTGCCATACAGGTCATGGAGGTTATATGAACCATACTTCACCACGCTGGTCAGTGTCGGTTGGTGAAGGTGTGCAAGCATACACATTGTCGTACTGCGGCAACTTACAACATCTGTTACTGGTAGGAACCTGGTTACACCAGCCCACAGGGGATTATTGTGTCCGTCCGTCGTGCAAGGAGGGGCTGGGTGGGGAGGGAGGGGCTGGGTGGGGAGGGGAGGGTGGGGAAGGCTGGGTGGGGAGGGTGGGGAGGGGCTAGGTGGGGAGGGTGGGGAGGGGCTGGGTGGGAAGGGTGGGGCTGGGTGGGGGGTGGGAGGGGTGGGGCTGGGTGGGGAGGGGCTGGTCACCCCGTGGTGCCCTTATAAAACTCAACGTTTAACCTACTCACGCCGGCTTGTGCCCGCTCTCACAGTCGGGCATATTTGCGGAATACACCACGCCGCCGTTGACCCTGGCCATTGACCAAGCAAACCAACGTTCCTACCAGCTCCCTCCGCAGGAATATGTTTTATGCGTGGTAGTCGCTCATGAAATTAGTATTCAGGCTTAAGCCAGCTTATCTTTCAAGATCTGACTAGATTTGGTGCATTCTGGGTTCTTTCGTCACAGGGAACTCCCCTGATGTAAGCTCACAAATACAGCAATAAGTGTCATGTTGTTGTTCCAGAAAGCTTCCCACCTTTTTCTATTAACACCTGAAAACCTCTTCCAATTACTGGACTGTAAATTGCATCTCAACATTTCTATTTATAGCTCACTTGATAAAAGTGTACAGACGCTTTTAACCAACGTGAAACATGTACAGTATTTAATATATCACAACAATAATACTAATAAGATTTTGAAATGTTTCTGCCTGGAGGTTGCTATATGTTGCTATAATTGGAGAACTTGGCTTAATATTTTTTACACATTATTTAGGTGTTTGTAATTACACTTCAGTATTAACACAATTTACAGAGGGCTTTCATGTAAAAAAGTGGATTCCATGTGTTACAGTTAAGTTCGTTCATTTGAAGGGATAAGAAAATCTATATTGACAAAACCCTGGGTGTTGTGGTGGCAGTTGCCTGTATTCTAGAGCTTTGGAGGCAAAGGGTTGGTGGATAATGAAGATTTTTGAAACGTCCAAAACCAACTTAAACCTTTTAGTGTAAAAAACACAACCAAGTGCAAATTCACTGACACTAAGACTCCTTTTTTCAAGGGACGTGGCCAGGTGGCAGCACAGAAAGTGCATTTCTTGACCTATTTGTTTAGTCCTGTGAGTATTCTTTCTTTAAATAAATGGTGAGTTTTCTCCGGGTGTTCCTCGTGTTTTCCAACACTAAACACTCTACTTGTTAAAAGGAAATGGCCAAACATCCTAAGGGGAAACCATCCCGGAAAAAAAGTTTGAATCTTAGTGAGGCTTTTATGGCTACTTAAATGCGATGCCATTTAAAATGACTATTTTAAGATAACGGCTTCCTGACGTGCTAAATGTGATGGTCATAAGTTCATATATCAGGGTTACTTCAGCCCAGAATTCTTCGATCAAGACATTAGATATCACTTTGTGAGGAGTCAACAGTGGGTTTTCAATGTGTCAACTGGCCACTTTCCAGGGGAATGTGGACTTTCCAACAGCTGATCCCTCCAACAAAAATAAACCCCCATCCAGTTCCAATTTAAAGACAGCCACCGTTATAGAATGTGGTATATGTGTAGTGAGTCCAACTGAGTTGCAGACGTTCTTTAGAGGCAACACTTATATTGTAACATCAACCCGCTGACACAAAGGGGTAACTGCCCCTTCACCAGATACAGCCTAGGGTGGTGACCACCCAACTAACTACATTATACGTAGGAGTTACAGTTACGAAGGGTCAGACCCTCACTCGGGTCCCCGACCACGTGTTGATGGTTCGTAGGACGTAGAACTTCCAGCTTGTAGACGTGGCGCTTCCAGCTTGTAGACATAGAGCTTCCAGCTTGTAGACGTAGAGCTTCCAGCTTGTAGACGTGGAGCTTCCAGCTTGTAGACGTGGAGCTTCAGCTTGTAGACGTAGAGCTTCCAGCTTGTAGACGTAGAGCTTCCAGCTTGTAGACGTGGAGCTTCAGCTTGTAGAATGCAGCGACCCCGGTCCCTCTCAGGGACCCACCTTATATCCCCCCAGGTCGGGGCCGCTCCTCCCTTAGCCCCGCCCACCTTCTCGAGCTTTCTAGCTGTCTCTCGATCCCTCTGGAGAGCTCTCCCCGGACACGTGATCACCCCCTAGCCCCACCCCCCTCCACCTGGGGGCCTCTCTGTGGACACTCCGGATCACGTGTCTATGGGGTCAACCAGAGTGCCATGTCCCGGGGCAACCCTGCCCCTGGGCTGACACTCTCCCATTTCCCGCTGTGGGAGCCCTCACCGCACACCATGCGTGGTGCCCGCACTATCCCAGCGCTCACCAAGCCCCGCTGGGGCTGGTACCACAACCACCACGGGTGTACGCGATGACGGTGCATCGCATCGCACGCCACGGCCCTCTCAGGCCGGCACCATGTAGTGACATCCCCGATGTCATTACATATTAACAGGGTTGTTTTTACATGTAGATGCCCCGACCGATTTATAACGGCCTTCTTACTTCTCAACCTTAATAACTGTACTGTCTTGTGAAAATAATGGCTCCATACATCAAAGGGGGATTTAAAGATGTAACGAGTGTATTGACATTGGTGGGAGACACGTGGGGGCTTTGAAAGTAAATGTTTTCTAAACATCCTATTATTTTAGTGGAGTATCTATAAATACAATGCCCTATGCAGCTATGCGCTGTAGGTCAGGGACTTGAACATAAAATGTTGTTATTTACACATTAATAATGTAACGTACTACAAATAAAAACCGGTTCCGCATCCACATCGTCACATTGCTTATTTATATACTGCATTTATATTTCGTTAACATACCTGTCAACCCCTTATCAGTGCCCTACCTTATTACAGACCAATTCAGATCTTATTGGTCACATCGTGCTCTTATAAATCTCAACGTTCATCCTACAACGTCTGATCACAAGGGAGAAACACAAACAAATAGACAATAATTGGTTTTGCCCGTATTGAAACGGCTGTACACCGTATGGACCTGAAAACTCAATTTCCCTGTACAATAATACGGGTAACCCGTATGGGTTGACAGGTATGGAAAGGGTAAAAGCTAATGTTGTATTTTCCATCATTTTGACACTACCAAAAAAAAGGTCCCATAGATATAATGTAATGCGTCGTCCATCAACGCAAATCACCACCTTGAATTCTCTACCGAGTGTGACTACTCCACATACCGTGTCAACCCATACGGTTTACCCGTATTCTTGTACATGGAAATTGAGTTTTTTTTTATTTATACGGCGTACAGCAGTTTCAATACGGGCAATTTTTTTAAAATAAAACGTCTGTTTGTGTTTCTGTCTTGTGATGCGACTTTGTCGGATGAACGTTAAGATTTATAAGAGCACGGGGTGACCAATAATGTCTGAATTGGTCTGCAATAAGGTAGGGCACTGATAAAGGGGTGGACAGGTATGATTACACGTGGCAGTTGGATCCGTGTCGCATACGTTATAGGTGGGGTTACCACCCGTCCCGGTTTGACCCGGATAATCTTGGAGATTGGCATCAATATTTGTGCGGTATACGTTTATATGTACCGGATATATGATGGGTGGCTGAGAAATATCTCGGTTTGATCTTCAGCGGTAAAGGTGGCAACCCTTATTAAGAGTTACTTGCATCAAGTTCATTGATTAGGTATAGCCCTGTGAGCCATTCGGCTTTTGAATCGGGTGCAACCGCAACAAACAAAAAACTAAAACATGAATAGCGCAATAATCGACATTTTCACTGTAAATCCAGAACTGTATTGTAATTAGATCTATTAGTTCCATCTACAGCCACTAGAGGCCTCTAAATTCAAAATGTTTCAACATTTTGTTCGATTCTTTTAATCGAATAATCGAATCTGCATCCCGGCAAGTTAAAATCTGAATTGCTTTGGCAATGGGGCGAATATTTACGCCTTTACAATATACCCCTAGTTGTACAATAAACCCATACAATTCATAGACATAAGTTGGTAAAACGCACACTGGAGTTCGGCTCAGCCCAACTAATGAAAACATAGTCGTGGCCATTCCACATTTCTGTGACGGGGTCTGGTCTTCCGACCGGACTATCTCTACGTATTATACTGTAAAGTATGAATTTTTAAAAAAATATATACTACGTACATTTCACGATATTCTAAACACTGCCAACATACATAACTGTTCGAAAAGTAAAATGAACGGGACTCTTGAAACGGTGATGAGCGTGGAGAGCGGGGGATTATATCGCATCGCGGAAGGATACATTAATCGCGGAGCCAATGTGAAGCTGCTCTATATAAGGCTGGCTGGGGGGGGGTGCTGAGGCTCACAACGCGCGGGGCCGCACGTGGACGCACTCCTCGCCGACTGCGAAAATTTCCTCTTCATAAAGTCGCGGGCGAAAACTTGTGAGGCGATAAACATTCGATTTCTCATGAAAAGTGTCACTTTTACCAGCTCGTTTTAATGCGGCGATGTGAACGAGACGTTTAAAAGTTTGTTTTAAATGCGGAATTTTAAATAAATATATTGAACGGTAGATGTCGCGGTTTGGCGCAATTTTAAATGGAACGCGTGTGGTGAAACGTCGTCGCGATTTTCTCGTTTCTCGCTTGCGTTGAAACATTAATCGGTGTGTCTCGTTATTGTTTTTTTCTACACGTCTTGTTGTCTTTTAAAAATAATAATTAGAAGGCGGCCTCAAGATGATGCCTGGGAGGGGCCGCGCGCGTGCCCGCGGGCGCGCGGCCGTGGCGACGAGGCCGCACCACCTCCTGCGCATGCGCAAGGCGATGCCGGAACTGCGTCCGCTGTGAGTTTTTCAAGCACGTGGCGTTAAGAAATACAACACGCACACGAGTCTGAGATAATTGTTGTTAATTATTGTTGTTGTGTGATTTATTATTTTAATATTATTATAATATTTATTATTTTAAGAGCTTGTCTCTTGGAATTTTGCCTCGCTTGATACAGTAAATTTAGCTGTGACGGTCCCACCTGATGACGGAGACTTGTGTTGCCTCCGAAACGTCATAATTTATTATTTTAATATTATTATAATATTTTATTATTTTAAGAGCTTGTCTCTTGGAATTTTGCCTCTTGATACAGTAATTTAGCTGTGACGGTCCCACCTGATGACGGAGACTTGTGTTGCCTCCGAAACGTCATGATTTATTTTTTAATATTATATATTTTATTTTAAGAGCTTGTCTCTTGGAATTTTGCCTCGCTTGATACAGTAATTTTAGCTGTGACGGTCCCACCTGATGACGGAGACTTGTGTTGCCTCCGAAACGTCATGATTTATTATTTTAATATTATTATAATATTTTATTATTTTAAGAGATTGTCTCTTGGAATTTTGCCTCGCTTGATACAGTAAATTTAGCTGTGACGGTCCCACCTGATGACGGAGACTTGTGTTGCCTCCGAAACGTCATAATTTATTATCTTAATATTATTATAATATTTTATTTTTAAGAGCTTGTCTCTTGGAATTTTGCCTCACTTGATAACAGTAATTTTAGCTGTGACGGTCCCACCTGATGACGGAGACTTGTGTTGCCTCCGAAACGTCGTGATTTATTATTTTAATATTATTTTAAGAGCTTGTCTCTTGGAATTTTTCCTCACTTGATACAGTAAATTTAGCTGTGACGGTCCCACCTGATGACGGAGACTTGTGTTGCCTCCGAAACGTGATTTATTATTTTATTTCTATTTTTTATTTTTACCTACGTGACTTTACCGAAAAAACCAAAGAGTATGAATCCTTGCAGTCACGAAAGCTTCAAATCTAGAATTAGAGTTGTTTAGTTAGCTCAAGTCGACGTCGTTCTCTCGATTGTTCGCGATGATGACGGGCGTCGAGATGGCTGCCGATGATTAACAACAAAATTTTCCATTTCTACTCTTTGGTTTTTCGGTAAAGTCACGTAGGTAAAACAATAAAATAAATGAAAACAACTAAATTAAATCACGACATTTCGGAGGCAACACAATTTTCCCTCATCAGGTGTAAAAAGGCACAAAAGTTTTCATTTATTGTATTGTTTTGCCTACGTGACTTTACCGAAAAAACTAAAGAGTATGAATCCTTGCAGTCACGAAAGCTTCAAGAATTTTCCATTTCCCCGCGGATCTCGATGGCAAATCCCCCCCCCCTCCACTAATATTGGTATTAATTAAAACTCACAAAATTAATGATGGGTATATATTTCTCTGTTCAACACCTTGGTGCCTAATTACAGACCAATTCGGACCTTATTGGCCACCCTTTGCTCTTATAAATCTCAACGTTTATCCTACAAAATCCCATCACAAGGGAGAAACACAAATAGACCAAAAAATGTTGCTGTATGGACCTGAAACTATTTCCCTGTACAAGAATACGGGGTAAACCTTATTGGTTGATGGGTACGGGTATAATTCACTCAAAATTAAGCACGACTGACAGATTAAGATTGTTACTCTTTCAATTGTGTTTTTGTATTGTTGATGTAACCCTCTTACCCGCCCCGACTGGACATGAAAAAGAGCTTTATAATTCAATGGATGGATGGATTCTTCCAGTATAAATCTGATTAAGAACGAATACTGAATGGTCGATGGGCGTGCTCAGTGATGACGCTTTCACTGTTGCCGCCCAAAGCCTGCCCACTGGGTGGATCACCACGCCAATCAAAATCAAACTCCGCCCACTCAGATTCCATTGACAGGTAGTCCCCAACTTACGATGGCCCGACTTACGATATTTAGATCTTACGATGGCGATAGCGATATGGCAAAATTGTTAAATATTTTACATTTCGCGCGGCAGGCAAACGCAGCAGCGTACGAGGTACGATACTGTACGTTGGGATGCTGCCGGGATATACTGTACGCATATAGTTTATACAGTACGGTACTGTATATTGCTTTGTTTTGATAAATTATCACCATTCTTTAAGACTCCTGGGTAGGCTAGGCCATTTTCGACTTACGATGGGGTCGTCGTAACGCATCTCCGATGATCTATAAAGCGCTTTTTCACAGTTACAACAATAAAAAACAGTAGTGCAAAATTCAGAAAAGGTAAACAAATCACCCAATCATACAAATAAAACTAAACCATCTCTTTGATTTTAAGCGTTCGTGACTGCAGGAATCCATACTCTTTGGTTCTTTCGTCAGCATTTCCCCTGCTGTGTTTGCCTCACCTGATGACGGTTGCTTGTGTTGCGATCGAAACGTCGTGATCTATTATTTTCTACCGACGTGACTTTACCGGAACAACCAAAGAGTATAAACCATCTCCATCC